TTAACGCTAAAAAGTGAGATAAAAGAAAAATATATGGGCCTATCATGAGCATAAATACACGTGTCAGCAGCTTATTGATTTTGTCTGAATTTTGACGCAATGTGTAAATTAACGACAACTATAGACTGTTGTTTAATGGGTTCATTTTTAAACTTATACACTTTTTGTTTCAAGGTTTTCTGTTCAAGTTTGGAAAGCAGCCCTGATCCACGTGACGATCTAAATTTTAGTAATAACTTGGCTAGACCTAGACAAATGTTTTGTTGTGGACAATAAATACTACTAAATGACTAGCCCAGCTACATAATGACATAATATATTTTTCACGTCCGCATATTTCATGATTTGAAAATAGACAGAATTCATAGAGATGTTAAGAATTCCAACCAGAAAGCAAACTGCCTCATGGTAAACGGCTCTAGAGTAAAACGCGTTCGCAGACTTATCTGGTAAATTGCCCGTAAAATAAAAATAAAAAGCGAAAAAAAACTAACAAACAAGCAATAAAACAAAACAAAAGAGAATAATGAAAACAGTTCCTTCAAGGGTAAAAAATCAGATCCATGAGACGAGATGAAAGCAGAAAAGAACATTTTCAAAAATCGATGAACATCATGGGTGAAAGTCTCACTTAAAGCGAAACTGACGGAAGGATACTAACATACTCTACCCACGGCCACTGTTTTAACTTGAAATCTCGTTGGCTTGAAGGCTTGTTGTTGATACAATATAGCTCGAAGTATGCTTTTGAATTTTGACAAGTTCATCAAAAATATATCTCATGTGAGTGAGCTAAACTGCCAATAATATATTAAAAACTCTGAAATTCTGAAATTCTAACAAATTATCAGAGCTCCSGACAAGCACATTTGAAACTGCAGTATGCCAATACGACATCATTAAATGACATTTTTGTTTTCAGAAAATCTATGCGAAGAAAAAAATGTTCTTAACTCTGGTTGGAATTCTGCTCCTAACAGGGAAATTACAACCTTCAGACGCCAGAAATACCACAGCAGGTAAGCAGTTTGCAATTTTAACAAGTGCATGGTATTTTAATCTATTTTTAACATTCATATAAAATTTGTCAAGGAAGTATACACCGGTGTAAGTTCTCGCGCGCTGATTGGATGATAAGAGCCAATCACGTGCGCGCGCGCTCTCAATTGAAAGAAAATATTGATTTCCTCTATTTTTACTATTTGTACTTTTAGTGAATACGATTCTGAGCAAAACGTTAAGTTGGAATTCTCCGGTATTTGTGTCCAGGCAACAATTTGCAGGGAGAGAAAGTAGATTTCTGGCCAGTCAATCTTGGTTTCGTATAAAAACTTACAGGGTGGGGGAATTAAAATATCTGAAATTAAGGCACTATATGTCTGCTTTTGCTGTGATTTTCTCGATAGAGGTTTGTTTTCCTTGAGCGAGAGACAACTTGGGCTTGATAGAGAGTCATTGTTTATGACCTGATAGACAATTATTTATCATTTTAAGTATTGAAAGCCAGTCCGAAGGTATGAAACACAGATTTATAATCCCATTTCTTTTGAGTCGCTAAGTCGGAGAAAGAGTGTTCAAAAGCTGGAGTATAAAATTGACCTTTTTGATTATACAGGTCACTTATTTTGTAGGTATAAAGGAAATAAACAAAACACCAACTTGAAGCTACAATATCTCTGTTTTATTGAGGACGTTTCGGCACTTTGGCCTTCTTCAGCAAACTGAGCAGTTTGCACGCGCCACTCTCTATAAATCCTAACAACTAAGCGACCAACAAACACACAAAAAACAAAGAAACTACGGAAACCTAACGGAAACCCATAAAACAACCTGCAAAAAACCCGCGCTATTGAAACTTGTTAATAATTCTTACATAAATCACAACGCCACTATTATACTTAAATTGTTAGTGNATTTTTCCTAATAAGGTTAGGCCTCTTCATTTTCATAGCCTGAACAGTCTTGCTTGTCTAATCTAATTTCAAAATTGATCAGTTTTTTGAAAAAGAATATTATTACAAGTGAAATGAATGCCAAGTATCTTGACGGTTGTATTTATTTCTTGCTGATACCAGACAAAGAACCTCTCGAATGATATCGAAATCATTCTATTCTTTCTATAGCTGTTATTTGTGTGTTCGCTTTAAAATCATGATCACTGTTGGTAAGATATTCTGCAAGCTCACAGCAGGTGCATAACATCCTTTACGCATATACGCACTTGCGTACTAGTGGCAAGGAAATATTAAATATTTTTGGGATTTGATACCTTTTATATGCTCTCGATGCCCCTCAAAACGCTGAAAATCGTTTTTTTGAAGAGTTATTATTTCAAGATTTCCTGGGGAGGACCCGCAGAACCCCCTTGTTACTCCCGCTTTCGGTGGTCGTCAGGCACCAAATCCCAAAATTTGTGTCACGGTCCCTGATATGTGCGTACTAGCCAAACACTCCAAGCTACGCGTCTGCACGGGACTCTAATTTAGTTCTAATGTGGTTCCGATATGGTTGTTAAGTCGAATGTTAAGGGGTGTTTCACTCTTTCCTATGTATTTCTTTTTACACGTTATCAAGTCTATCTACAAAGAGGATTGACCGTAATTCAAATCTTGGAACTGAGATTTTATACTCATTACAACTCGATTCACTTTTAAAGGTTTTAGTATTAAGAATAGATGAGCACCAGGTGCATCGTTGTTTACCRCATGGTTTACAGCCATACTAGTTAACACCTTTCATTTGCTTGTTCAGTTTTGCTATGATAAGTATGTCTTTCAGGATTTTGGGTTTCCGGTAAGCTGCAAAAGGTCAGTTTTTAAAGATCGTTTCCATTCGTATCTTACGTTGTTGAATATCGTATCTTTTATTGAGTAAGTACGATCTCTTGTGTTTGAACTGTCTTTGCTCTTAATAAAAAAAAAAAAAATACTTCATGACAGCGCATTTCACTTCAAACTTATCTGGATAATATTTCTTAATGTATATAATCCTAATGAAGGCATTGGAGCACAAACAAATCTCACAGCTCAAAGTTATGGGGTGGGTACTCCCCAAATACAACATTTAAAAAGTATTTTCAGCAAAATGCACAAGTCGAAAGTATGGGGGTAGTGAACTAAGCCAGTACGCATAGCCAGTACGCAATATGTATTGTAGTCTGTTTGTGTGTAAGTAAAGTTGACAGGTATGGTCAGGTGGGAGAAGCTGGTCACGTGACTAACTCTGGCCAAAAACGATAGCTCGAGTCCCAAACCTAAGCCAAACTCTAAGTAAAAACTAACCCTAACCCTAATCTTAACCTAAGTCAACGAATCAAAACCTAGCCAACATTAACCCTATAACCTAAGCTTCAAACCAAGTAGCCCAAAACGTGAATCACGTGACAAT